GAATAATCAACTTGACGTTGTTAGATGGCTTGCCAGAATTGATCCGGAGGGTATGAAGACACGAAACAAAGTCAAGGCAAGTGTGCTCCATCACGCTGCTGTAGTCGGCAATATTGAAATTGCTTCTTTTTTCTTGGAATTATTGGAACCGTCGGACAAATGTGCATTAATTATATCACCAGACAAAGATGGCTCTATATCTCTGCACTACTCGTGTTCGAAGGGTCATCTTGAGTTCAGCCAATGGTTGATTGACGAATACGAGAATTGCAAATCAGAATCCGATCCTCCATTACCCACAATTCAAAATAAAGATGAATGCAGGCCTCTTGCGGCTGCTGTGGAGAATAATCAACTTGACGTTGTTAGTTGGCTTGCCAGCATTGATCCAGAAGGTTTGAAGACACACAAAAAAAGACAGGAGTGGTGTGCTTCATCACGCTGCTGCAAACGGCAATATTGAAATTGCTTCTGTTTTCTTGGAATTGTTGGAACCATCGGACAAATGTGCATTAATTATAGCTCTAGACATAGATGGCGCTATATCTCTGCACTACTCGTGTTCGAAGGGTCATCTTGAGTTCAGCCAATAGTTGATTGACGAATACGAGAAACGCAAATCAGAATCCGATCCTCCATTACCCACAATTCACGATAAAGATGAAGACACGCCTCTTGCGTATGCTGTGCTGAATAATCAACTTGACCTTGTTAGATGGCTTGCCAGAATTGATCCGGAGGGTATGAAGACACGAAACAAAGTCAAGAGAAGTGTGCTCCATCACGCTGCTGTAGACGGCAATATTGAAATTGCTTCTGTTTTCTTGGAATTGTTGGAACCATCGGACGAATGTGCATTAATTATATCACCAGACAAAGATGGCGCTATATCTCTGCACTACTCTTGTTCGAAGGGTCATCTTGAGTTCAGCCAATGGTTGGTTGACGAATACGAGAAATGCAAATCAGAATCCGATCCTCCATTACCCACAATTCAAAATAAAAATGAATGCACGCCTCTTGCGGCTGCTGTGGTGAATAATCAACTTGACGTTGTTAGATGGCTTGCCAGAATTGATCCGGAAGGTATGAAGACACGAAACAAAGTCAAGAGTAGTGTGCTTCATCACGCTGCTGTAGTCGGCAATATTGAAATTGCTTCTGTTTTCTTGGAATTGTTGGAACCATCGGACGAATGTGCATTAATTATATCACCAGACAAAGATGGCGCTATATCTCTGCACTACTCGTGTTCGAAGGGTCATCTTGAGTTCAACCAATGGTTGGTTGACGAATACGAGAATTGCAAATCAGAATCCGATCCTCCATTACCCACAATTCAAAATAAAGATGAATGCAGGCCTCTTGCGGCTGCTGTGGAGAATAATCAACTTGACGTTGTTAGTTGGCTTGCCAGCATTGATCCAGAAGGTTTGAAGACACAAAAAAAAACAGGAGTGGTGCGCTTCATCACGCTGCTGCAAACGGCAATTTTGAAATTGCTTCTGTTTTCTTGGAATTGTTGGAACCATCGGACAAATGTGCATTAATTATATCTCTAGACATAGATGGCGCTATATCTCTGCACTACTCGTGTTCGAAGGGTCATCTTGAGTTCAGCCAATGGTTGATTGACGAATACGAGAAATGCAAATCAGAATCCGATCCTCCATTACCCACAATTCACGATAAAGATGAATGCAGGCCTCTTGCGGCTGCTGTGGAGAATAATCAACTTGACGTTGTTAGTTGGCTTGCCAGCATTGATCCAGAAGGTTTGAAGACACGAAACAAAGTCAAGAGAAGTGTGCTCCATCACGCTGCTGTAGACGGCAATATTGAAATTGCTTCAGTTTTCTTGGAATTGTTGGAACCATTGGACGAATGTGCATTAATTATATCACCAGACAAAGATGGCGCTATATCTCTGCACTACTCGTGTTCGAAGGGTCATCTTGAGTTCAGCCAATGGTTGGTTGACGAATACGAGAAATGCAAATCAGAATCCGATCCTCCATTACCCACAATTCAAAATAAAAATGAATGCACGCCTCTTGCGGCTGCTGTGGTGAATAATCAATTTGACGTTGTTAGATGGCTTGCCAGAATTGATCCGGAAGGTATGAAGACACGAAACAAAGTCAAGAGTAGTGTGCTTCATCACGCTGCTGTAGTCGGCAATATTGAAATTGCTTCTGTTTTCTTGGAATTATTGGAACTATCGGACAAATGTGCATTAATTATATCACCAGACGAACATGGCGCTATATCTCTGCACTACTCGTGTTTGAAGGGTCATCTCGAGTTCAGCCATTGGTTGATTGACGAAAACGAGAAATGCAAATCAGAATCCGATCCTCCATTACCCACAATTCACGATAAAGATGAAGACACGCCTCTTGCGTATGCTGTGCTGAATAATCAACTTGACGTTGTTAGATGGCTTCCCAGAATTGATCCGGAGGGTATGAAGACATGAAACAAAGTCAAGAGAAGTGTGCTCCATCACGCTGCTGTAGTCGGCAATATTGAAATTGCTTCTGTTTTCTTGGAACTATTGGAACTATCGGACAAATGTGCATTAATTATATCACCAGACGAACATGGCGCTAATCTCTGCACTACTCGTGTTTGAAGGGTCATCTTGAGTTCAGCCAATGGTTGATTGACGAATACGAGAAATGCAAATCAGAATCCGATCCTCCATTACCCACAATTCAAAATAAAGATGAATGCACGCCTCTTGCGGCTGCTGTGGTGAATAATCAACTTGACGTTGTTAGATGGCTTGCCAGAATTGATCCGGAAGGTATGAAGACACGAAACAAAGTCAAGAGTAGTGTGCTTCATCACGCTGCTGTAGTCGGCAATATTGAAATTGCTTCTGTTTTCTTGGAATTATTGGAACTATCGGACAAATGTGCATGAATTATATCACCAGACGAACATGGCGCTATATCTCTGCACTACTCGTGTTTGAAGGGTCATCTTGAGTTCAGCCAATGGTTGATTGACGAATACGAGAAATGCAAATCAGAATCCGATCCTTCATTACCCACAATTCACGATAAAGATGAAGACACGCCTCTTGCGTATGCTGTGCTGAATAATCAACTTGACGTTGTTAGATGGCTTGCCAGAATTGATCCGGAAGGTATGAAGACACGAAACAAAGTCAAGAGTAGTGTGCTTCATCACGCTGCTGTAGTCGGCAATATTGAAATTGCTTCTGTTTTCTTGGAATTATTGGAACTATCGGACAAATGTGCATTAATTATATCACCAGACGAACATGGCGCTATATCTCTGCACTACTCGTGTTTGAAGGGTCATCTTGAGTTCAGCCAATGGTTGATTGACGAATACGAGAAATGCAAATCAGAATCCGATCCTCCATTACCCACAATTCAAAATAAAGATGAATGCACGCCTCTTGCGGCTGCTGTGGTGAATAATCAACTTGACGTTGTTAGATGGCTTGCCAGAATTGATCCGGAAGGTATGAAGACACGAAACAAAGTCAAGAGTAGTGTGCTTCATCACGCTGCTGTAGTCGGCAATATTGAAATTGCTTCTGTTTTCTTGGAATTATTGGAACTATCGGACAAATGTGCATTAATTATATCACCAGACGAACATGGCGCTATATCTCTGCACTACTCGTGTTTGAAGGGTCATCTTGAGTTCAGCCAATGGTTGATTGACGAATACGAGAAATGCAAATCAGAATCCGATCCTTCATTACCCACATTTCACGATAAAGATGAAGACACGCCTCTTGCGTATGCTGTGCTGAATAATCAACTTGACGTTGTTAGATGGCTTGCCAGAATTGATCCGGAAGGTATGAAGACACGAAACAAACCAAGAGTAGTGTGCTTCATCACGCTGCTGTAGTCGGCAATATTGAAATTGCTTCTGTTTTCTTGGAATTATTGGAACTATCGGACAAATGTGCATTAATTATATCACCAGACGAACATGGCGCTATATCTCTGCACTACTCGTGTTTGAAGGGTCATCTTGAGTTCAGCCAATGGTTGATTGACGAATACGAGAAATGCAAATCAGAATCCGATCCTCCATTACCCACAATTCAAAATAAAGATGAATGCACGCCTCTTGCGGCTGCTGTGGTGAATAATCAACTTGACGTTGTTAGATGGCTTGCCAGATTTGATCCGGAAGGTATGAAGACACGAAACAAAGTCAAGAGTAGTGTGCTTCATCACGCTGCTGTAGTCGGCAATATTGAAATTGCTTCTGTTTTCTTGGAATTATTGGAACTATCGGACAAATGTGCAATAATTATATCACCAGACAAAAATGGCGCTATATCACTGCACTACTCGTGTTTGAAGGGTCATCTTGAGTTCAGCCAATGGTTGATTGACGAATACGAGAATTGCAAATCAGAATCCGATCCTCCATTACCCACAATTCACGATAAAGACGAAGACACGCCTCTTGCGTATGCTGTGCTGAATAATCAACTTGACGTTGTTAGATGGCTTGCCAGAATTGATCCGGAGGGTATGAAGACATGAAACAAAGTCAAGAGAAGTGTGCTCCATCACGCTGCTGTAGTCGGCAATATTGAAATTGCTTCTGTTTTCTTGGAACTATTGGAACCATCGGACAAATGTGCAATAATTATATCTCTAGACATAGATGGCGCTATATCTCTGCACTACTCGTGTTCGAAGGGTCATCTTGAGTTCAGCCAATGGTTGATTGACGAATACGAGAAATGCAAATCAGAATCCGATCCTCCATAACCCACAATTCACGATAAAGATGAATGCACGCCTCTTGCGGCTGCTGTGGTGAATAATCAACTTGACGTTGTTAGTTGGTTTGCCAGCATTGATCCGGAAGGTTTGAAGACACAAAATAAAGACAGGAGTGGTGTGCTTCATCACGCTGCTGCAAACGGCAATATTGAAATAGCTTCTGTTTTCTTGGAATTGTTGGAACCATCGGACAAATGTGCATTAATTATGTCACCAGACAAAGATGGCGCTATATCTCTGCACTACTCGTGTTCGAAGGTTCATCTTGAGTTCAGCCAATTGTTGATTGACGAATACGAGAAATGCAAATCAGAATCCGATCCTCCATTACCCACAATTCACGATAAAGATGAACACACGCATCTTGCGGCTGCTGTGCAGAATAATCAACTTGACGTTGTTAGATGGCTTGCCAGAATTGATCCGGAAGGTATGAAGACACGAAACAAAGTCAAGAGTAGTGTGCTTCATCACGCTGCTGTAGTCGGCAATATTGAAATTGCTTCTGTTTTCTTGGAATTATTGAAACCGTCGGACAAATGTGCATTAATTATATCACCAGACAAAGATGGCGCTATATCTCTGCACTACTCGTGTTCGAAGGGTCATCTTGAGTTCAGCCAATGGTTGATTGACGAATACGAGAAATGCAAATCAAAATCCGATCCTCCATTACCCACAATTCACGATAAAGATGAAGACACGCCTCTTGCGTTTGATGTGCTGAATAATCAACTTGACGTTGTTAGATGGCTTGCCAGAATTGATCCGGAAGGTATGAAGACACGAAACAAAGTCAAGAGTAGTGTGCTTCATCACGCTGCTGTAGTCGGCAATATTGAAATTGCTTCTGTTTTCTTGGAATTATTGGAACTATCGGACAAATGTGCATTAATTATATCACCAGACGAACATGGCGCTATATCTCTGCACTACTCGTGTTTGAAGGGTCATCTTGAGTTCAGCCAATGGTTGATTGACGAATACGAGAAATGCAAATCAGAATCCGATCCTCCATTACCCACAATTCGCGATAAAGATGAACACACGCATCTTGCGGCTGCTGTGCAGAATAATCAACTTGACGTTGTTAGATGGCTTGCCAGAATTGATCCGGAAGGTATGAAGACACGAAACAAAGTCAAGAGTAGTGTGCTTCATCACGCTGCTGTAGTCGGCAATATTGAAATTGCTTCTGTTTTCTTGGAATTATTGAAACCGTCGGACAAATGTGCATTAATTATATCACCAGACAAAGATGGCGCTATATCTCTGCACTACTCGTGTTCGAAGGGTCATCTTGAGTTCAGCCAAGGGTTAATTGACGAATACGAGAAATGCAAATCAAAATCCGATCCTCCATTACCCACAATTCACGATAAAGATGAAGACACGCCTCTTGCGTTTGATGTGCTGAATAATCAACTTGACGTTGTTAGATTGCTTGCCAGTATTGATCCGGAGGGTATGAAGACACGAAACAAAGTCAAGAGAAGTGTGCTCCATCACGCTGCTGTAGTCGGCAATATTGAAATTGCTTCTGTTTTCATAGAACTATTGAAACCATCGGACAAATGTGCATTAATTATATCACCAGACAAACATGGCGCTATATCTCTGCACTAATCGTGTTTGAAGGGTCATCTTGAGTTCAGCCAATGGTTGATTGACGAAACAAAAAATGCAAGTCAGAATCCGATCCTCCATTACCCACAATTCACGATAAAGATGAAGACACGCCTCTTGCGTATGCTGTGCTGAATAATCAACTTGACGTTGTTAGATGGCTTGCCAGAATTGATCCGGAGGGTATGAAGAGACGAAACAACGTCAAGAGAAGTGTGCTCCATCACGCTGCTGTAGTTGGCAATATTGAAATTGCTTCTGTTTTCTTGGAATTATTGGAACCGTCGGACAAATGTGCAATAATTATATCACCAGACGAAGATGGCGCTATATCTCTGCACTACTCGTGTTGGAAGGGTCATCTTGAGTTCAGCCAATGGTTGATTGACGAATACAAAAAATGCAAGTCAGCGTCTGATCCTCCAATACACGATATTGAAAATAAAGATGGCAAAGTTGCTATTTACTTTGCTGCGATGAGTGGACATGGTGACATTGTTATTTGGTTAGTCAGCATTAATCAAGATAAATGAAAAGACGAAACAAAAACAAGGAAAGTGTACTTCATTACTCGTGTTTGAACGGTCATCTTGAGCTCAGCCCTTCTTTTTGCTGTGGTGAATGGACCTTGCAGGTGTATCATTTTTGCTTTTGTAAAAATTTAATCTTTTTGAATCAATAATAGAAATACTCTCCTTTCGAGAACCTTTTGTCAAGAATCAATCTCTATGCTTTTATAACCCGATACATAGTCTTACATTCTTTTGTTATCTTACTCATTGAAATTCAATACTTTAGCTTGCATGTGGCATAAAATGCACTATGTAGAAATAGATGCTATTTACTCTATTGGTTTTTGTTCCAACTTTTGATACGAAAATAATTGAATATTTGTGCTCGAGTGGTTTTTTCTTCAGACAAACTTCGACTTTTTAATTAGCCATTTTTAGACGGAACCACTCAAAAAATATTGTTGTTGGAACCTGATCTAAACTATATTTTATTATTTATAATTTAGACATTTAACCATTGTAAAGTGTTTAATATTAACCAATCACAATCCATCTAACTAACTACCCGCTTATTTGTAAGTGCTGAAATTACTTGTAATTTCAGCACCAGAGAGATTTGAATTAAACTTAGAAAATAGTTGCCTCTCCCGAGTACTTCAGCAGCCGCATCAATACCAGTATACTGTAGATCTATTGAGCCTAGCAGAGACTAGTTAAACACCCTGAGACTAGTAGTTATAAGAGTAAGATTAGGATCGGTATTAGACTAAGAAGTTGCACGGAACTATCCGGCCGAAAATAAGATAGCGTGACGAGCAGACGGTGTACCCTATCCGAAATTACTCTATGAGATAGACCCCTATATCTAAACTCATCTGGTGCGACCATAAGTCTCGAACAAGACCTTAAATAACAAATTAGCTAAGATCTAACAAAAATTAGATTAGAAAATAGACAGCAACATTTTCAAAATGTTATACGATAATAACTTAATTGAATGGTCTCTACGACTCAATAGATCAAAACCGCTCTTCCGAACAATACTAGAACAACCACGTATTGGAAACAGACCTCGGACAAGAGACGACATACGATTACGGAGAAACTTACCAAATAGTTTCATGATCGTACGGCAAAAGCCACAATAAACTTTTTTATTTAGAATTATAACGGCAATGAATTTTGATTTTCATTCGCAAACATAAAATTTTTGAAGGAAATCGTCAATGCATCTACCAGGCGCTAAATAAATTATTAATTTTCAATATAGATTGATAAAAACGTCACTAATTGTTTCCTCAACTGCAGTACTATATAAAACATATTTTAAAAATAATATATTTAAAATAAAAGCAAAAATTAGTAGCATGACAATAAATCGTTAGTAAACATCAATTATCTTGTTGTTCCAGCTTCATCACCTAAACATAACAGCAATCATAAATCAACTAACTTCATCAAAACTAAAATTCACAAATTGTTATTTCAAAATTTTAAATTTTATATTTCTTAAACCTATAATTTTTAATCTTAAACCAGATCATCAAGGCTTATCCTTGGATCTAATTTAAACTTCTATCCCTAATTTTAATTCTGATCATCAAGGCTTATCCTTGGATCAAAGAACAATTTTGTTCTCCCCCATCCACTTATCAAGTGTCTAACGACCTTAAACGTCGATTCACTCTCCAACATTCCAAAAAGACCCAGGACTAATAGAAATTTTTTAAATACTAACCATTTAAATTAGGCTAAACAGTGAAGAACTTCGGTTATTCATCCTTCACTTGACCCCTCCTCTTATACGACCCAGGATAAACTTAGACTTAGTAAGTTTAAAATAGTACCTAACGAACTACTTGCGTTCTTATTATACCTGAACCTTGTAGATCGATTTACTATTCTCCAACCCTTGAACACAATCACTACCCCTAAGTAAGATTAAGTAAGTTAACACCTTAGCTTATATTAGCCACGAGAAAGTAAAAATCATTCTCCGGAATCGATATACTTTTCTCTCCAACCCTGAATAAAAAGACCCAGGCTAAGCTAATCAAAAAATCGTAAGGACTAACAGTCTAGGAAATTAAAACACTTACAAACAACCTTGCACCCATCATCCTAAACCTTATGTCATTAAAAAATCTAGGAAATAAACAAACAATCGTCATACACAATTGTCAAATTGAAAATCAAAAATACGATCTTGTTATAACCCCGCATACACAAACCATTGAATACATTCACACAAAACGGCAAACACTAAAAGGAACAATTCTCAGAAAACAAAGACAGATAACACGAAAAAGATTTTCAAAACACCGAAATGCATTTTCCGAATCAGAAGTCAGTAGTCTCGACGCACTATACAAAGTAGAGGACTCAATAAATCAAACTTATCCAATCCAGGAACCAGTATATTTTTCCGACTCAGAAACAAATACAATTTCATCGAAAAAAGAAAAAAACAGAATAAAAAAGAAACACAAACACAAACCAGTACGTCTATACAATTGGAGTCAACCAATCAGACACATTAACAATTATCTATTAACTGTCATCAAACGAAAAGATGAGCAACACTCAAAGTGAAGAAAGTATTGATTACGAACAAGCCTTCCCTTTCATTATAGACTCAGAAACTGATAGACGACAAATAAAAGTTTGGAAAAATTTACTTATAAATTTATTTGAACCAGGAATAAGTCCATGTAAAGTAGAATTTCCAGATATAAAAATAAAAAGACAACTAATAGATCATTATATTAAAGATATCGCAAAAATAACACAACAATATGGTATCTACACTATAGAAATCTGTACGCCACGAAGTGATAAATACGTTATTCAAACAGACGATCTTGATCTAGAATTTTCAAAGGTATTCACAGAATATATTAAAAATATACAATACCATAACTCACAGAGAGCAAACTCAATATTCACAAATGAAGTTTTTGCTATAATATACACATATTTAACTATATTAGAAACAACACAAGTTCAAAGTACATCACCAATCCAGATATCATGACACACAAAAGTTAGAAAAGAGATCACTGCTTTTTCTACATTTTTATACGCAATTCGTTAAAATTTTTACAACAATGACGTTTCACAAAATGCCAAACATGATTTACAAAAGATACTAGCATGGTTTACAATCGATTATTTCACACACAATTTAGATTTATTTAGCCAAGCAAGAAAAAATTTTAGACCTCAAAGTAACAATGACGACACAGTCATTGCAGAACAATCACATTATGTTTGGGACCCCGATTGGTCTCATCCGTTATTTATAAACTTCCCAACTGATATCTCAAGTCAAGCGATAGACACAAAATCTATTCATCCAGATTTTATAAAAATAATACCATTAACATTTGACGCCACACGTTTTAAACTATAATACATTTTTACCCGATACACAAAACAACAGTTTAAATTCAACGGTAATACATAATGAAAACCTCAACGGAACTCGAAATCTTACACAGCAAGATGTTCAAACACCATCACACTTTATAAATGAAGAAGTTGTTCATACAACAGTAACAACTACGCAACAAATTATCTCACCAATACATCCAAATTTAACAACACCAAAAAATAATAAAGCAACATATCCACAAATAACATTACAATCAACCGTAAAACCTTCAGCCACTTTTGCTCCTAGGTTTTCACAAATGGATTATCGAACATTTAGAACAATGACACGACCACCAAAACCAAGAAAAACATTCACAAGAAATAATTTTGCAGAACACAATTATAATTATACACATCCGCCAAGAGCACACCACCCCCCACGAAAAAATCATAATAATCATGCATGTTCTCACAATTGGGACAAACCAATGACAACAAACAATTCAGTAAATTTTCAACCTAATCAGCATCCTCCACAGGATCATAGTGAAAATTAGCCATTTTTTCAACAAAATAAAAATAGACAACAAACACATCATACGGATTATTTATCATCTGATGATGATTATTTACAACCAGATATTTTTGCACCATACACACAAGAGTATCGTACACAAAAACCACGACGACCTCAATATGCAAGTATTTTTCCTGAAACCCATTAGATATTCAAAACCAACCACCACAAATGCCAAATTCATATAATACACAATCTTTTCAACCAATGCAACCACAAAATCCAATGACTATGCATTCGTATCAACCGAACCAAATGCAAAATGAAATCCCATTACCATATTACCTACAACAACATGAAAATACAAAAAATCAATTGACAAATTTTTCGCAAATACCAAACGCCGCAGAATCGCTACAAATGACGATGAACCCATACCTCATGGGAGGATCATCAATAACATCAAATAAACCACTCATGGTATTTACAGGAACAGACCCTGAATACTCAGTAGAATATTACTTAAACGCAGTCACAGCAAACTTAATTTTGAATATAGGACCTGAACCAATAAATACACCAATCCATCAAAATTG